AGAGAGGGGATAATGAGATGAGATGAGATGAGTGAGCCGGCAGAAGGGCGGAGGATGTGAGAAAGGCAAAGCTGAGCCTCCCTCTGTGCTCGTCTAAATGGCAAGAAGTGTAACATTTGATACAAGTTTATGGCGTCGTATGAAGAAATGTTAAACCATTCATTTGATTAATCACTGCTCTGCTTTCTGTGATGCTGGTCACAAAGCCTTCTTTTAGAAAGATCCCCCTTAACTTGAGTTATTACAGACTACGTTAATAGACTCGTTTTTGGAGTTTTTGGGATCGGAACGAGCTAAAAAACTAACATCAGCGAGCTAACCTGCACACAGTGATAACGCCAACGTGATTTTGTAGCTGTCCTAATGGTTCACTTTTTTTCTCATTTCTGATCTTTACTGATGTAGCATTCGACTTCAGGATAATGACACTCAGCACAACGGTTAACAGAGGTTCATGAATATCCTCGGAATTGTAGGTATTCATTTTAAACAATTCCTCAATCTATTTATGAGGCTTCGAATCACAGCAAAAGTTATACGATTACAATTTTATGTCTAGACCGCACTCTTTGTTTTGTTATTTACGGATCCCAAACAGGAATTATCCAATTTTAACAGACAGAAACCTCAGATAGATTGAGGCTTTTTGGTGGACAACCATCTGCCTCTGCAAGTCAATAATGTGGGAAATAGAAAGATATAGAAAGATAGAGTGAACAGTTAAACCAGATAGTGCTAGATGAAAGATAAGCAAATCTTTGAAATCATTACAAATCATAACAGAAGGGCAGGAATGTTTGCCACTAATTCATTTCAAACCATGTTGGTGGTGTTAGAGGACAAGTTGAGACAGGGATTTGTCGTCTAGTGACTTTAGGTATCTGTTGCAGTGGTCAAAGCAATCCTTCTAAGAGTTGGTGAGATGTTTTAGTTTGGACCAAAGTGGGAGATCAATCGTCAGAGATACAAGAACCAGGGAATCAATCAAAATGAAATGTCAAAGACTTCTCAGTCTTTTAAGTTATCCAACAGAATATCACAAAGTCTGTCCTCCTCGCTGCTCAAATATGAGACTTCGCTACACTTCAATTTTCTAAAACTGAAAATTCAATATCTTCTATTTTGGATTCTTTGTTACACAGAACAAGAAGTTGAATATGTTGACCTGGACTTAAGGACAGTGAGGAGCACTTTGACACTTTTTCTGTGAACTTTCATGGGCTTAACAGTTAATCACTTCACAAAAACGTTTGCTAAATAGATCATTGAGTAACTGCTTTTGAATACACAATTCAGCTCCTCTACCCTGCAGTTGAATCATCGTTTAAGTTATAACCGTAATAGCAGTTTGTGATTGCTTAACAACCCTGTGAAAGGGACACTTTGTAGAGAAAGATGAATATATTTGATGCCACTTCTTGGCAATGGTACATTCTACCCTCAAATGATGAACTTTATTTTGAATTATGAATTAGATGTACGCTGAAATCAGTGTATGAAACACAAATGTAGGTAAAGATTATGAAAAAAACTGAATAACTCTGACTCAGATATCCCATTTACTACTTTCTTAAACTTCCCCCCTATCACATCCTTTCCTTCCCCCCGCTGAGGAGTGAATGAAAGTAGGAGCATCAGGAGGAAGCAGACGAAAGAGGACTGGAAGACAAACAAGCGAGGCAGGAAGAGGAAAATGATGGGTAAATGAATGGAGGAGGGGAGGGGGGAGTGTAAGAAGAGTTGGAGAGGGGAGGATGAGGGAGAAAAAGGTGGGGGGGGGGCAGGAGTGGTGAGTAATGGATAAATGAAGGGAGATGGACGGAGGGGGAAGAGGGAGGGACCGTGTCGCTGTGAGGCAGATGCATTGACGAGCCGGCTGGCTGATCAATGGGATGTGGTCAATCAACAGAGTGATCCATATGCTCTGACCTTACTCTGGACGGGTGAGGGACAGTGTGTGTGCGAGTGTGTGTGTAATGTATCCTGATGAAATTACATAACTTTACGTCAACAATTAAAGCCCTCTTAATGAACTTATAGAATGGTTTTGCCCGTTTGGGTTTATCTGCTACAAAATCATTAGGGGGTGGGAATAATCAGACATCACTGTGATTGTTCAACGGCTAAATATTTCCCCAAAAGGAAATCTCTTTCGACGTCTGTCTCATCATCTGACAATAAAGTTTCTCGTTTGTTCATCTCGTGTCCATCAGGTTCATTTGAAAAAGAAAGAAAGAAAGAAAAACAGGATTCCAACACTGACGTAAAAATCTTCCCAAAAATATTGAATGCAAACTGTGGCGAACTTCATGCCCCTCAACTGTATGCTGATGACTGTCTTCACTGCTGTCACACTACGGGTATCTTTAACATAACATGGCTTGCAAAAAAAAAGAAACTTCACTATTTGGAGGATTTGAAGGTTCATAACTGTGAAAAATGATAAGAGTGATGCCTCCGTCTTACTCCAAACCCTGCTGACTGAGACCTCTGCTGACGTCAACAGAGAAACTCAACAAAAGAGCTAAAAAGCTATTTGGCTTTTATTTTCTATTTGAATGTCTCTCTTTTTTGCTTTTGATGTCTTTTGTGAAGGACTTTGAATTGCCTTGTTGCTGTGTGTATTGATGTGTTGCTGTGTGTATTGATACTAAACGTCAGCGACAAAATACTGAAACGATACCATGCTGCACCAACTTTTTAGCCGCTTCTACAAATGATGCATGCTTTTTCATATAATGTACACAAACCAAGGTTTCAGCTGTGATTTTGGATGGAAATAAGCGTCCTTAGACTTCAACTTTGAGATCCACCACAAGGAATGCCTCTCTTTTTTTTTTTACATTGCATCATGGTCATATGTTAAGCTGAGAGAGGGAGCTGTGCTAAAAGCTAAACTACCCAACGACAAATTATACTCTGTTATCATAAATAGTAATCACAGTGGGAAAAGTGCAACCAAAATACTTCCTGTTTTGGTGACTCATATTTCAAGCTGTAATGTAAACTTACACCATTACTGTAAATACTATAAGTAGTCTTATGGTTATGAAAGTCATGTGTAATTTCTGTGTAATGTGCTCAAGCAAATGACATATGCTGGTCTTGAAATGTCCTAGACTGCTTGTGCAGAGATCACCTTTATCAGCCTTTCATCTAACGTACAGCGAGACGAGACAACAACAAAGTAGAAGTAGAAAAACATCACATGTCAAACTGGAGCCAGACCTGAAACAAATGGCTCTTTATCCTCTTACATACACATCTGCATGTTGCACTTTCACATCACAGCCCCAACGCAAATTCAATTACATGACAGGACACCAAAACAAATGCAAGGAATTTCAGCTTTTTTCTGACTGCTGGTTTACAGTTTGTGCTTCTCTCGTCATACAGCGAGAAAAAAAACCTGTTGAAGACACTGAAGCAGGTTGAGCAGCAGCCTCACATTTATCGATTGTTGTATAAACATAACTCCACAGAGGGAAAAGACCTGGGCACCTAGTCTTTCTTCCACTCCAATGAGGCAGGAGGAATGTGAGGAATTGAGGAAGGATGGTTACAGGCCGGACTTGTGATGCCCAAATCAGATCTGATGCATGTCCCAACAGCTCTCGTGTCACTGATAGAGGACGGGATAGCTGCAGAATCAAAGTGCAGAACTACAGCAAAAAGAGCTCTCCGTTAAGACGACTACATGACTTTGTATGAGACTCTAATGCTGATCTAGACCTGAGCGGAGAGACAGTCCAACGTCTAAGCACCAAGATACTCACAGTAATAATGATGATGATAATTTGGGTTTCCTCTAAACACAGCTTTCCCTTTACATTGTTTACCAGTAAGGAGTTTTGAGGAGAATCATCCAGATTGCCCAAATTGAGTAAGTGTGTACAGATCACTTCTCAGATGATTTTTATTTTTTCTATTATTACAAAAATGAAGTCATTCTGCTAGAAGCTGATCTCATCGTGACTATAACTGTCTTCTTCAATCACGTGCCGTCCACACAGCACAGGTTTACTTCAGCTTAATTGTAACTTGCTATCATGCTCCTTCAAAACTTAAACCATAAATGTAAATAAAGGCTGTTTTTGTACTGCGCTGTGAAATCGCTTTGTTGGAATCCAAGACGTGACAGGCCTAAAAAAAAAAAAGGTATGTTCATCATCTCTTCCGAGTTCTTACAAACTCCCTACATTAAAACTTTAAGAGAAGACTGTTTTATGTTATACACTGCCAACAGATTCTTGTGCGGACCTCTGTGTGCTCAGCTGTAATGCTCTGGTTACCGGGCTGCAGACGCCTAGAGGACGCTGGACTTATAATAAATGACAAAACAAATCAAGTTTTCTGCATAATAGACTCAGTACTTAAATGTTTTATATATCGGTGGTGCAAAGTGGAAAACATATACGCCGATACAGTGTACCTGTGATGATCTCATATCAGCAGATTACACCTGCCAATTGGTGTACTGGTCAGGCTCTAGAATCATAATAGAACTAGTACCCCACCTGTGAGAAAGGCTTCAGCTCTCCAGAGGCTTTTGGTTGTGCTTTGGGAGCTTTCAAATGCGTCTCTCTTTCCCCCGGATGAATACGTTTAAAAAAGAACTTGGTTTTGGTTGAACACTCAGCAAAATGAACGTACTGTATATATCGTGGCTGGGGGGGGGGGACAGCTGGGCGAGAACATACTGCGGGCCCATTCCAAAGTACACTAGGCATTTTCTGTCCAAAACCTCGAGTAACCACAAGTACAGTATGCACCACATCAAATATGCTGTACAAACAATGAAGCAGTAGAGTTGTTGCGGAGACTCTATGTTTCTGAATGAGGGGCCTTGTGTTTTTAAGAGCCCGAGGTCTGTTATCAAAGTTGATCTCACATGCATTCTTGCACATGTTGCAAATTGATCTGCATTCAAACCTGAGGACTTCTGCCCTGCCCTGCTGCTCGTTCTGCTGTTCTGTTAAAAACAAGAAGGAGTCACATACCCAGTCTTCATAGTGTCTGGTCCCGTTCTGCAGCAGGTCCTCCAGCTGGATGGTGCAGTTGGCCACAAAGTCATCATATCCGATGGGTGCATCGTGGAACACAGACAGCTCCAGGCTCCGTCCCTCGCGGACCTCGGTGCAGAACTCCTGGTGCCAGGCGGGGCTGTTGGTCTTGGTCCTGGTGGCGGTCTGACCGAGCCGGGTTTGGTCGAGATTCAAAGCCAGGTAAGGGTCCAGCAAAAAGGACCCGCTCTTCCCCACAGCATGACGCAGAGCCCATGGGGTGGGCTTCAAATCAACTGCCTCACACACTCGCACCTTCAACAGGCCGCTGAACACAGGCATGGCTGCAGGGTCCTGGGATGTGTGTGAGTGTGTGTGTGTGTGTGTGTACAAGGATGAATGTGCGTGTGTGTTTAGGCTAGTCTGCCTGTTCCTGCTCCTGTACACAGAGCGTTTCCTTCCAATAAGCGGGGGTCACTGCACAGTCCTGCTACATCCCATAATGCAGCTGGCTCCTTGGACTCTCAGTCTTGCACAGCCATAGCTGAACACACACACACACACACACACAAACACACGCACACACACAAACACACGCGCGCGTTGTCAATACAGCTGATGGATCCCTAATGGAGTGAAAAACGCAGACTCACACCCTTCAGAGGTCGCCTGCTGAACACTCTCCCACCCCCCGAGTGTCTTGCCTTGTTTGTTTACTGTCGGTCCCGTGCGCAAGACAAGATTCCCTTTTTGGCGGAAGCAGGCCGGGATATCGAACGGCTGTGGGGTGAGGGGAAAGCGGGATAAAAGGCTCCGGTGGGGTTAAGTGTGAAGCCCCTGAGCCTCCCCACCGTCCTTGTATGTCTCTCCCGGGTCAGGGTGGGAGAGAGCGCGAGCAGCCGCGCCTAGCCATCCGGGATTGGTGCTCCGTTTCCAGCCCCTCGCTCGCTCTTCTCCGGGATTAATCTCCTTACTTCGACCTCACGGTAACGCGATATTTGCATGTATTCTCGGTAAGCAATTCCTCCGTTTGCTTCCCCCCCCCCACCCCAATGCAGTCTCTCTCTCTTTTTTTTTTTTTTTTTGTTGTTGGACTCACGAGCTCCTCAGATACATCACGGTCCTCCCGCTCCCGTTCCTTTTTTTTTTTTTCTCCTTTCGGTCCTTGCGCGCGCCCCCCCGTTTCCCGTCCCCTCAATCTGAGAGTGAGCGCGAGCTGCAGGAAATGCGCAAAACGCGTCACCCGCGCTGCCGGGCTCTAGCGCCGGATGAGAGGAAAGAGAGGGAGGGAGAGAGAGGGAGAGAGAGAGAGAGAGAGAGAGAGAGAGCGTGTGAGTGTGAGTGTGCAAATGGAAGAGGTGTTTTTTTTTTTGAGCGCACGAGAAGAAGAGGGGGGATGGAATTCACCCGCAGGCATGAAGTGTGTGCGTTTGTGTGTGTGTGTGTGTGTGTGTGTGTGTGTGTGTGTGTGTGTGTGTGTGTGTGTGTGTGTGTGTGAGTGCGTGTCATGGCCAGACAGCCAATAGAGCCAGTCAATCATTTAGTCCGTATGCATGGTCACAGACAGACTACACACACATGCTCTCACACACACACACATGCTCTCTCTCTCTCTCTCACACACACACACACACACACACACACACACACACACACACACACACACACACACGTTGCTGGAATAGTATCTTAATATAACAGAGGTGTGATCTATGATGTTTGTTTTTGAGTGTTTATGTAAGTCATCTGTTCACATATTTACCATGATGCCCTACATCGCTGTCAATCTTTCTAGTGTGTGCCCTTGCATCTGTGTTAAGTGTGCACCTGTTCATAAATGGAATACAAGAACATTTCTATTTTTATTCATGCATTTGTAATGCACAATTTGATCTAAGAATAGCTAAATATTCAGCATCCACATAAACTTGGCTGTAAAGGTAATTATTTAGTTACACTGAGAAGTATATACATAGCCTGTATATAACCGTTAAGGCTCTGCTTACATTGTTGTTGCTCTTTTTAAACTCCAACAGGCCTAGCTGTTGCACTTTGGTGTCTTGTAAGCTCATATTACAAATCAGTATTTTGCCAGGGACAATCATTGCACAGTGTTACTTTAAATATAGTTCTTATATAGTTAAAATGCACATTTATACTGTGCAGGCTGGTGACTTATTATTTTGTATATGTTGTTGAACTATTTTTCAGGTTACATGTTCTATTTGTGAATTAAAAGGAATAATTTAACAAAATGTTATTTTTCACAAAGGGAAGGAATAACAGGTATAAGTAAATGATGTAATTTAGTCGTGCAGCCTCCTACCATCACTTAAACTTTGTTATAGTTGAAATTTTAATGTGATATAACATTTAAATCTGCTTAAATTTGACAACAGATTTTAATAGTTTGCCAGATGTGAATTGCTAAACAGCACATTCTGCAAATATTATAATTATAAGCATATTATGATATAAGTACACATGACAAATGACAGTTTTTTTTTTTTTTACTTCATCCAGATTATGTGAGATTTACTAAATGGTCTAAATCACTTCTTTTCTGTTTTTTTGTCAAAGAAATAATCTCGACATAGAGAAGAAAATCTCAGCTCCCACCTGTAAGCAAGCTGCGCCACCTGCTGGCTCGCAGGACTCAGTGGCAGGAGGATGATGACGCCTCCAGGACGCGACGTCATGGAACGATGTGTTCAAGTACTCCTCGGAGATTAAACTCTCAGCCTTGATCGAGTGGATTTCTGAGTGAAATAGTGAAAGAAGAGTTTATTAGATCAATTTCATTTGTAAGGGTTTAACATTGCTCAGGCCCTGCTTGAAAAAAGTATGAATATATTGCTGGAAAATATATTGAAGTATCAACAGTATACTCATTAGGCAGCAGAGGGACCCCTCAGTGTGACATCATATTATTCAAGCATTAATATTATGTATGCATTCCTGTGTAAGAAGCATTTTAAGTTATGGCCGGTGAAAATTAAATCATATTTAAACAATTTGTAGTCAAAACTATGACAATGAAAGAAATAACACATTATATTTGATAAACTTAGTATACATTTTATATGTAAAACCTTAGTCTTCAAAGAATTAAGTAACAGCTATCAGCAATAAAGTCAAAAGTAGGGAATTAAAAAGTGAAGATTCTGCATGGGAATACCAAAGTGAAGTATAATTACCTCAAGATTATACTTTAAGTGTCTTGTTTTTGTACATTTTGTAACACGAGTAAGCTTGTTATATATAACGATCTGATCATTTCTATTATACAATTATATATGTGTGACAAGATCGTCTTCATGGATCACACACTGGGTGGAAATTAACATGTTTCAACAGCTTGTAAGACAACAGCAATGATTACTGATAATAAGAAAAGGAAAAAAAATAAGTACAAATAATTAAAGTAACACTTCCTTTTGTTATAAATTGGGGATGTACGATAAGAAGCAGAGATTTAAAATGTATAAAGTGTATAAAGCAAAGCACAGAAGTGTCTGAATGTACTCTGAATTTGTTGTTGCCATAACATAGTGTGCTGTCTTTACTTTAACCACTAGATGGCACCAATTTGCTTTTACTTAAAAGTGTTACCAGTGCTGTGTTTTACTCCTCCAGAACAATCTGGTGACCAGAGATATATTTCTGTCCAGTTCAAAGATTCACGTTTAATTTTGTATACAGCAGAGAGAGAAGAACTAAGACCAAAATTAGGAAAACATCACAATGATACTGGAACTGTTAGGTGTAAACATCACACATTTATTATTGAACTTTAGGAGGTAAACAAAGGTATAAAAAAAAATAATAGAATAAACTTCAAGCTTCAGATATTATGTATAATGGCCCATTCAGAAAAAAATGTATGTTATATGATTGTAATAATTGTTTATGCTGATAAACTGTTATGGTGCAGCTGGTAAACATGGATAAAATGTTATATTTTATACTGCTGGGTAACTTGATGCCCCCTTGTAGATGACTAAAACGTGATCTTGTTCATTCATTTATTCAGCACATCATAATGGTTATATTATTTATTTAAATATCTAAGGGGGTGGCTGTACCTTCTTTTTAAATGTTTTAAGAGTTGATAATTATCTGATCATCTCAGGGAAATAATTTTGTCATCTCCAGGATGATCAACCTGTTGTTGTGACAAAACAAAAGGTTGATGATGCATGATGATGTCTTGGCAGCTGTAGCACATGAAGGAGCACTTCTTATGTATCCATGCAACAGACTGTGATGCAGTCGATGCCTTTTATACAGCATATTAATACTGTCACTGTTATGAATCCTTTGCAAAGCAATAAAGGTGTTTTTGAAGATTGTAATCATGTGTCCACATGACGCTGACACTCACGCTGTGTTTAGACTCTGCGTAAATATCCTGTGATTTCAAGAAGAGAAGTCCAATGTTAAGAAAAATTATTTTAAAACATTATCACCAGAAATTAAGCGTTCTTATATTTGGATAATGAAATAATCAACTGTTGGTCTCGAGATGACACACTAAAATGTTATTGCCGCTACGGCCACTCTGAGCCTCCATAGAAAGTAACAAGTCACTTGAGTTGTTTCATAAATGTAGTCGAGTCAGAAGAAAAACATTTGCCTCTGAAGTGTCGATGAGCAGCAGAATATGGGAGTTCTCAAGTAACATGCAAGTACTCCAAAACAAGTAAGACGGTCAATTATAGAAATCATGTCAAATCTGCGTTCTAATTCAGTTTTCAGTCATTTGCGGTGATGTCATGACGGCGACACCAACCACATTTCAACACCGAACTCAATAGAAAATAGCACAAATGTAGGGGAAGTTTCTTACTTCATACTTGAATGTAAATGCTTTGTCTTGTTTTATTTTATTTTATCGTACATGAACAGAAACCGTTTATTCAAACTTACAGCTGATACGCTCATGACATTTAAAAACAAACTCACTTGTGACTCCTGTCCTTGTATATGAACAGTTATTACATAGGGTGAGGATTTGTTCAGCGACTTTGTAGTATATTATTAGATATATATTTTTTAAAAGCTTTATCATCTTGTTATTTAACAATTAATTAACAGTTTATGCACAGGTTACTCGCGCTGATTTGTAGAAGTTACGATTTTAAAAAAAACGTAGAAATGTCCCTTTTTTTCCGTGTAATCCCACATAAAGTGTGCTGTAGAAAATGAATGAATGGATTGAGCCAGATGGCTCTAGGTGTACGCTGTTTTCAGTCAGTAAAAGCTCACTATTTATCACATAAACACACATGCACACATATTTGTGTGAAAATGTCATTAAAGAAGACTAGGCACAATGAAAGTTATAAATTAAATTACTTTATTTATATAAAAGAGATGAAACATTATCTCAGCATCAAATTGGACATACAATATGACATCACAAACTGTACAGTAAACTCTGTGGACTTGAAGTAGAATTTAAAGTAAAGAAACAAACAAAAAAAGAAGAGACAGACAGACAGATAGGGAGGTAGACTGCAGTGCGTATTGATTGTCTACAGCAGTGTCACCTGGGGGTCCTTTCTAGAGAAACCACTAGTTCCATTTAAAAAAAAACAACAACAGCTAATGACACATAATTAGAGAAAATAAGAATGATTATCTCACTGAAAGGTTTCAGTCTGTAAAGGTCCTTGCATGAGGGGGTCCGCGGGTTTAAGTCCAACAGGGGTCCTCGGCTTGATGTCTGTTTAATGAGGTTGATGATGAGCTAATCTGGGTCATCAGATGTGAAGCTTCAACATCCAGTGGTGTCGTGAAATAGCAGAAAAGAAAAGTTAGTCTGGATCTGCAGCATATCATCAGCTAACCAGCAGTAAAAAAAAAACTAAACTGAGAGTACAACTCTCAGGGAACAATCTTCTCAAAACCATCCGAGTTAGGTGATATTAAGGATATTCTTATGCTATAAATAATTAGTGCAACCCAAATCCCAACCACCCCCTTTTGTTCCGCATCAATGATCCTCCTGCAATTCTCACAGATCATCAAAAGTCCACGTAAGTCCATTTCAAAGATTCAAGGTCTCAGACGTCCAAATCAGAGTCACTGTCTGTTACTGAAAGAAGAGTTTCTCCATCCACACGCTCCCCGTGCTCATCTGGACTGCACCCTCCTCTGCTTGGACACATCCGATGGTGCTGCAACCTTAAAAATGAAAAAGAGAAGTTATGTAAAAATAAAATAAAAAAAATCCATCTTCATTTTAAACCAGGCAAAGAAAAACAAAATAAAAGGGATATACAACTGTTATATTGTTTTGCTCCTGAGGGGAATTTAAATCCTAAAGAAACAAGTTAAAAAGGATTGTCCTCCTAACAATAATCTACCGTGTATGTGGGCTGAGCAATTTGCACCCATTCACGCACGTTTTGCCTTCAGCAAGTGGATTGTTGACCCACACTGACCCCGGACCAAATTATAGTGAGTGATGGAAAGAAAGAGTGACCCCAAGGAAAACAAAAAAAAACTACAAGCTGAAAGGTCGTGCGCTTTTACGCATGAATGACCCTTTTACGCACAACCTTAGCTGCATGTGGAGAGGAAATATCCTCCACGACTGAGTGAAAGTGAGTAATCAACCAAGTGGATGATGGACTGAAATAGAAAGAGTTCCCTTGATTTCAACACACAGGTAATAAAACATCTCGATCTCTCATACATGCAGGTTTCTATCTACTCGCTGTAATTTGTTTAAAAACTCGTAGTTAACTTATTCTAAGTCAAGGTTACTGACCTGTTTTTAGCTGCTGCGGCTCTGTCTCTCTGTCTCCGGTTTTTGAACCAGTTCCCAACTTGAGTCGGTGTGAGTCCGGTCGCGTGTGCCAACTCGCGCTTCTTCCCGGGGTTCGGGTATGGATCCTGAAGGTACCACTCTCTGAGCAGCCCCCGGGTGCGCTCCTTGAAGCAGTGCGTCTTCTGCTCCCCGTCCCAGATGGTCCTCGGTAACGGAAACTTCTTCCTCACGCGGTACTTATCAACTGGTCCGAGTGGCCTCCCCCGGAGCTTCTCCGCCTCCCGGTAGTGAGCTTCGAGCCACATCGCCTGTAGTTTCCCGTGCGAGGCGCGCGTAAAGCGGTGCGTCTCCAGGATGTGATAGAGCTCGCGGAAACTCCCCGTGTGATAGGCCACCACGGCGCGAGCCCGCTGCACGGACTCGTGCTCAGAGATAGAGTCACGGCCGTCTGCGGTCACCGGGAGGGACCAGAGGAAGCGGGCCAGCCGCTCGATGTCTCCGGTCTCCTCCAGGGTCTCGCAGACACTGGCGATCTGAGACGCAGAGAAACACAATCCTGGGAGAGACATAGGAGGACAGGCGGAGGGAGGGTCCTCCGGGGACCGGGAGCGAGCCAGGACTTGGGCCCCATCCGCAAAGTTGGGCAGAAAGATCCTGGAGGCTGAGAAAAAGTCGAGCGTCGATCTGAACATCATCTGGATGACAGAGTGAAGATAAAGTGACGAAGAAAAAACGCGCTGGAACAGACTGACAGAAATCTGGTCAAGCCTGACTCTTTAGCTCACCTGGGAGTCAGGGAGGGACCCGGAGTCTGACTCCTGATTGGACAGCCTAAAGCTGATGTGAGGTTGTCATGACAGCACTGTCAATCAAACACAGAGGATTTGTCTCCCCTTGAGCTCAAGCTGACACATAAAGCCCTTCAGAAAGGAAACAGTTGTTAGAAAAAAATACTCAAGGTCTCTGAACTGGATTGGTAAAAAAAAAAAAAAAAATCAGCGTGGCCAAGAATCCTCCAGATGGAGAGGGACGCATTAAAGATGGGTTTAAAATATATCTGCATGAGTCTTCATCTTTTCTTATTTCTTATCGAATATTAGAACTTCCAAAATATCATTGGTTTCCAGAACTGAACTTTTCCGTATCAAATGATTAAGATTTAAATATTTGCCTTTTTCGAGATCAACCTCTTTTCTTTTTCTTAAACGTTTGAATTTTCTTTAAAAAAAGCAGTTTACAGTGCCAGAACACATGTCTTATTGTAATAGCCAACTTAAAGGTCTCATAAAGAATTATTGTTGGTAAGAAATGTTTTTGTTTAATGGTTTAAATGGTCTGATTTTGCCTGCGCTTCAATTTCCAGTTTGACCACATAGAACGCTTTGTCACTGTGTTGAAAGGTGCTCTAAAGTGTTCATTATATTATGTTAAATATCATCAGGCCTTCACTGCTGCCTGATTTTAAAAATGAAAATCAGATTTCCCTATATGCTCTTTGATCTCCTGTTATTTTAAACCTCCTCCTGGGACACACAAAAAAAGGAAAAAGGGGATGTAAAGACAGACTCAAAAAGCAAAAGACAATCATGACTGTTGACTTCTAAAATGGAGAATAATTAAAATAATCATAAACTCAAAACAAATAAGCCAGGGCGCCAGTAGGTTAGTGCAGAGCCCGGGTTCGAATCCGACCTGTGGCTCATTTGCTCATCTTTCCACACTCCGTCTCTCCCTGACTTCATCCACTGTCCTGTCTCTCTGATAAAAGCATAAAAAGCCCCCAAATAAATCTTAAAATAAAAAATGAAGCCAAGAACAGTCGTCTAAAGGACACAGAAATACCCCCCAAAAAAATGCAATCATCATATTTCCTAAAAATGAAAAACAAGAAGAAACACTCCCCTGAACCTGACCTGAGCCTCTCTGTCTGCGATCAGCTGAACCTCGTTCTCATAACCTCTGTGCTCCTGCAGGTAAGCCTCTCTCATCATTAATAGCAGTAATGCACCCGGTGTGATTGGAAATCTCACCCAGACCTGAAAGCGTATGTTTCCCTAAGTGGTCTCCCTGCACTCTAATCACTTTCTAATCACTTTTCTATTCTCTAATATCCGTAAGTTCAGAGATAAGCTGCGCCGCGGCTCCATTCTGTTACCTTGGATTAGCATCAGGCCGATACAGAAGGCAAACATTAGTCTAATAGAGCAGCATATTCAATCAGCATTAACACATTTTGGCTTCCCCGGGCCATATGCTTTGGATTGCGGCAACCGTCCTGTAGACACCGTCTATGAAATACGATTAAGAAAGCATTTTAAGGCTTAACAAAAGCAGCAAAAGAAACACTTTTTCTTTTTTTTTTTAACCCTCACTGCGCAGCTTCTCATTCAGTTTTGTTACATACAAACACTTGCCTACATTTGAGCTTCAGTGCAGATGTGTTGGCCGGGAAAAAGGGGGTCACCCCAGCTTAAAAAGGGGTTAATGCCAATTACCCAAACAGACAGATGTCCTGCATGCTGCTGCGAGGAGATGTGTGCCAGTTTTTCACCCCTCGATGAGATGTAGGGTTCATGCTCGTCAAGGTAATCCCTACTGCTTTTGATTCCTTCAAACGTATGTGACGATGATAGTACAGAAAGAAAATGCAAACTTTTAACAGTCAATCCCTTGCCAAGTCACTCCACAGTTAAGTTCCCCTTTAGGCTGTGTTCTTAAAACCAGCTCTAACCTTGGTGTGTTTGCAAACAGGCTATGAAATTTGCAGCACACATGGAAAATGTGCTAAATACGAGTTAAGAGATAGTTACGGTCAATGAGTGTTTCAGCCCAAGATGCTGCAATAGGCACAGCTCTGCCAGCAGAAGGACTCAGCTTTCTCTGAAAAGACAGAACATTCCCGAGTAATCATTGCTCCAACAACAACAACAACAAAAAAAAAGACTCTTCAGTGTAAAGATGGACATTCTATGTTTCTGTCTGTGTGTGTGTGTGTTTTGGAAGCAGAACAATAGAAATACACACACAACAGTCCCAGAGCGACAGTCATGGCCAGGGCTCCTCCAAGTTGAAAAGACATTCTTCCAGTTGAAGCAGGAAGGACGTACCAAACACACTCGAAAGAGACATCCTCAAGGTGTGTGTGTGTGTGTGTGTGTGTGTGTTGTGGTGACAAGTGTGTCGTAATGGTGACAATTAAGTTAATTCAGCTACATCTCCATTCAGCGACAGCACAATCAGGAGGGCGGTGGAGGGAAAGCAGAGCCGGGCTAAAAGCGGGTTGATGGCACTTCCAGGGTGGCAGGAGGAACGGCGAGGATACGACGATGAATCTCCTCAGCGTCTCCTTATCCCCCCCGTAAACAAAAGACTGGCTCCTAATTAACCCCTCCACTGACCTCAACAACTTAACACTGACCTCTTAAGCCCTGAAACTTTAACCCTCTCGCCCTGTCTCATGGAGGAGGCCGTACAGCCCCCCCCCCGCCCCCCCAACTCCCCGCAAAGCCTCCTCCTCGTTAAGCCACTAATCACTTCCTGGGTCTTTGTTGTGCTTTTGTGCTCTTACTGAGCTCCAGGAGAGTTCGCTGGACAATGGCGACCAAAAAACAGGAAGGAGGGGGGGGGGTCAATGGTGGCAGATTGAGAGGGACGAAAATGAGGATGAGGGGAGAGCGGGAGCACAGCGTTTGTTTTTTTACGTGCTAACCAGATCCTGATTGTTAATCAAGTGTTGAATCTTTGTTTAATTCATGAAAACGTGCCCAAAAAAATTACACATTTTTTAATATACATTCATCATTATATCGAACACATTTCGACAAATGTGCTTATTTGCTCTCTTGCTGGCAGTAAGATGAGAAGATAAATGCCCCTCATTAAATCTTGAGCTACAAGATGGTTAGCTTAGCTTATCAAAAGACTGGAAACAGGGGTAAACAGCATAGCTCTTTAATAATAGCTACCTGCCTGCACCTCCAAAGCTTAAAAAAAGAGTTGTAACTCTTTTAAACTGGATTGATCTGTAGGTTTCAAATGTAAGGGGCTGGTTTAGCTTAGTGTGTAGAAGATATATACACAGGCTACCATCCTCGACACATCGGTTGCAGGTTCGACTCGAGGCCTCCAAACTCTCCCTGTCTGACTCTCTTTACCTTAAAGACAAAAAGGCCAAAATGAAATGTGATGGTCCTTGTTGCAGGGTTATTTGAGAGCAAAGCTGGCTACCTTTTCCCTCTGCTTGCAGTCTTTAGACCAAGAGCTAAGTTATCTAGCTTCACATTTAGTGAACAGGCATGAGTGCCGCATCAATATTTTCTTCAAATTCACTGAAACAAAGCAAGAGTGTGTTTTCCAACATGTTAAACGATAGGACGGCTGAAGAGAGACAGGAAATATAAGGAGGAGAGATTAAGGGATGACATGCAGGGCCAAGGGGCCAAGGGGCCGAGGGGCCGAGGGGCCGAGGGGCCGTCGCACATGGGGAGCACAACCTAATCGTGAGGTTTTCTGAAAAATAGAGCTTTCTTTAATTTGGGTCCTAATTGTCGATGCCCTTTGTTTTACATTAAACAATTAAAATCACAAACTACATTATTTTGAACATAATACAGTAGTAATAAAATAATTCAACTAAATGTCTTCCTTTAATTGAAAAGTAAGATTTGTCTTCCTCATAAGTACACAAATACTGATCCAAAGAAAGAAAAGCCGTCTGCAGATGGAAGAAGCATTGTGTTACCTTGTGTTTATGTGTGTTTTCTGTGTGTGTGTGTGTGTGTGTGTGTGTGTGTGTGTGTGTGTGGTCACCATTTGACCTCGGGTTGACCTCTGTCACAGAAAGTCAAGCAGGACGGGCGCTCGTGTAACTACACCTGAGCATCTCACCCTGCAGCCCAATTGGTTTGCAACCCAACACCTGAAAAGTTAATCCTGGCGCTCTTATTGCTGAGCAACAAACATCTGGAAAAGAGACGGTTTGTTTGTTGCAAAGACTTCACATACACAAACACGACGACACGTGTAAACACCTTAGCAGGTTTGCGGCCCACGAAACGCACGCAGATGTTCACAAATAAGCGTCTGCACGCGGCAGATGGGTGACGAGCGGTGACACGCGACACAGGAATAAACAAAATAATCAGATAATTTGACTAATAATCCCACTGAGCTATTTTTTTTTTTTTTAGGCCAGATGTTAAGGGCGTAATTACATCATTATTGTGCGTTTGTTTTGTTAGTGTCATCTCACCACTCGGTGTTTTAATTAATAGCCTGAGCGACACAAACACAGCAGCAGCCCGACAAACAAACACCAGCGGCCAAAAATACAAACAGCTGGAGCCTCACCGACGTCTGGCTGTCAGACACACCGTCAAGATGTGAGGACACACACACACACACACACACACACACACACACACACACACACGCACCGCAATCACAGCTAATAGATTAACACCCTTAAATAACACATTATCATGCAAAGTTAGAAGAATGACACAGGGATTCAAAGACAATGTGATGAAGGGAATGTGCAATATGTAAGAGATTTACTCTCTCAAATCATAATATTTACTTTAATTACCTGGTTAAATAAAGGTTAATAAAAAATAAAATGACTGAAGTAAACCATAAAATGACTTTACTTCATCTCACCAGATATTAAGGAAACATGCACTTCATGTTGATGTGCTGGATTCTCTGACAACAACCCGCAGCCAGTATGTCCTCCTCTTAAGTTTGGATCAGTCCTGATTTCTTGAACAGAGATTTTTTAGTTTTAAGTTTTTTAGTTTTAGTCAGTTTTAAAGTTCCCGCCCACTGCCGTTTTGGATGCCCTCATTTTGCCATATATGAAACCAGTTATCACTGCAA